GAAGCTGCACTGAAGGAATAGGCAAAAAACAAGGCTCCGGGAATTAAAGGAATACCCATTGAGATGTTTCAACAAACAGATGCTGCACTGGAGGCACTCACTGGCCTTTGCCAAGAGATTTGGAAGACAGTACCCGGCCAACTGACAGACGAGATCCATATTTGTAACCATTCCAAAGAAAGGTGATTCCACAGTATGTGGAAATTATCAAACAGTATCATTGATATCACACACAAGTAAAATATAACTCAAGTTAATTCAAAAATGATTGCAGCAGTATATCGACAAAGATCTTCCAGAAATGCAAACTGGATTCTGAAGGAGATGTGGAATGAGGGATATCATAGCTGATGTATTCATATATAAACAATTACTATTTATTAACTGATCAGCAACTGTCCATTTAAAAGAGGCCAATATACATGTTACATACCAAAAAATAATTCTGATTCATAGAGATCCAATAGGACAGAGTAGTACTGTCCCATAGGGCTTTGAACACTGGCAATCTTCACGGAAGCAGACTTCCTCATGTTTTTTTCTCACAGTGGCTACTGGATTCAAACTGCCGAAGATTACAAAATAAAGAAAGAAGGAAAGAAAACCACATCAACCTTACAAGAGATGCTAAAGGGCGTCCTTTGGATAGAGAACTAACAACAGACAAAAACAAGTAAATATTAACACACATGATGATATAACCCAGAAAACAACCCAGCTATGAAAGTATCCAAAGTAAATGAACCTGCAAGATTGTAAACAGGGATCCAGAGACATCAATTGACAGATGAGGACAATTACAAACCAAAAAAGGGGATAAAAACTGTGTCATTACAGAATTTCTAGATGGTGGGGAAGTCTAGACAACTACAAGATACAACAGACTGTTCTAAACTTGAGAAGAAAACTAGAAATCACAGAGCAACCTCAAAGAAAAATGATAAACCTTCCCATCAAAATAAAAAACAGGACCAGCAAAAATATGCAGCAAATACTAAAACAATAGCAATGAAGAAAGTGATAACATGATTCATAAACAAAATGAGCTCAGCATAGAAAATTACATGAAACAAAGAAATCAACACTATGAAAAAATACATAACAAAATGACAGCAACAAATTCATACTTGTTGATAATTACATATTTGGCAAGGGACTCATCTCTAAGATTTATAGTGGAAGAGTAGATGACCAAACTGGAGTAGATACATATAATGGAATGTTATGCAGCACTAAAGAATAATGCAGAATCTGTAAAACACTGCATAATATGGATGGACATGAAGGACATTATCCTGAGTGAAATAAGTCAATCACAGAAGGTCAAACAGCGTATTAGTTCGTTGTGGAGGTTCAAGAAATGGTTTACATATGCAGGGAAACATTTGTTGGTTGCCAGCAGTGGGATGGGAGAGGAGAGAATACTGCCAAAAAAAAAAAAAAAAAGTATTGGCCCATGTCACTTTAGTTTTGTGTATTTCACTATACATAAATTACATATCAATAAAATGCGTTTTTTTAAAAAAAGCGAATGATAAGGTTATGGAAGGTTTGGGGAGTGAGACAGAAAAATCTGGCCAAGGTGCTGTTGACAGGTAAAAATTTGTAGGTGAAAATCACTTAAAAAAAAAAAAAAAAAAAAACATCAAAAGGCGTATTGCATTGGGCAAATCTGTTGCAAAGACTTCTTGAACGTGCTGAAGAGCAGAGATATCTCTTTGAATAATACTAAGATGCATCTACCAAACGATGGGATTCTCAATGGTGAGTGTATGCAACTATACCCAAAATAACATCATTAAAAGTGTGAAAATACAACATATTTGCTAAAGGTTATTCCCGGTAACTTTATTTGTAACAGACAAAGTGTTATGAAAAAGATAAAGATTGCATTGAAAAATGAAGAAATACTGATAAGGATGGGCCCACAGTTATAGTAAAACAATCATTTCTCGCAAAGCCACAAAGTAGTTCTAATCATCCAGTCTTAGAGTTGGTATCTTTTTCTTACTCACTGAAAACCTTTTTTCTTTAAGGGCAGATTTACAGGAATTTCCTAGTTCAAATTATAACAAGATGGTGAAAACATCCCAATCTTGACACATAAGTCTCTCCAATATGAGTTATTGAGAAATGACATGTAAGGAGCAACTATAGGCTTTCCGACATTCTTACAATGTATAAGGCTTCTCTCCACTGTGACTTCTCTTTAGTGAGGGGTGAGGAATCACTGACAGCTTTCCCAAATTGCTTTCATTCAAACTGTCTCTATGACCTGTGAGTTTTCATAAGTAAAGTGGGGAATGAGTTTTGACAAAAGGCTTTCCCACATCCCTTGCCTTCCTGAGGCTTTCCTCAACTGTGAATTTTTTGTCTTCTCAGACAACAGGAATGACTGAAGGTTTTCCCACACTGTTCACATTGGTAAGGTCTTTCTCTACTACTCATTTCTGTATGTTGACATAGCTGTGATGAATGCCTAAAGGCTTTTCCCTATCCCTCACATTTGTAAGGCTTCTCTGCATTGTCACTTAAGTAAAAAGTGAGGTATGAGGAATTTTTAAAGGCATTCCAACATTCCTTAAATTTGTAGGGACTCTCTCCACTGTGAATTTTTCCATGTTCAGAAAGCTATGAGGGCTGACTAAAGGCTTATCCACGTTCCTTACATTTATAGAGCCTCTGTTCATTTTGACTTCCTTTATGTCTAGAGAGGTTTGAGGGCCAACCAAATGCTTTCCCACATCCCTTACATTTATAGGGCCTGTCTCCACTGTGAATGCTTTTATGTCCAGAGAGGTATGAGAGCTGAGTAAAGGCTTTCCTTCATTCCTTACATATATAGGGCCTCTCTCCAGTGTGAATTCTTTTATGTCTAGAGAGGTGTGATGGCTTACGAAATGCTTTAGTACATTCCTTACATTTATAGGGCTTCTCTCCACTGTGAATTCTTTTATGTAAAGAGAGCAAAGAGGAACAACTAAATGCCTTCCCACATTCCTTACATTCATAGAGGCTCCCTGCACTGTGAATTCTTTTATGTCTATAGAAGGCCGAGGACAAACTAAATGCCTTCCCACATTCCTTACATTCATATGGCCTCTCTCCAGTGTGAATTCTTGTATGTATGGTGAGGTATGAAAGCTCATTAAATGCTTTCCCACATTCCTTACATTCATAAGGCCTCTCTCCAGTGTGAATTCCTTTATGACTGTATAGGTATGAGGTCAGTTTAAACGCTTTCCCACATTCCTTACATTCATAGGGCCTCTCTCCACTGTGATTTTTTTCATGTCTAGAGAGGTTTGAAAGGTAACTAAATGCTTTCCCACATTCATTACATTCATATGGCTTCTCTCCACTGTGAATTCTTTTATGTCTGGAGAGGTTTGAAAGGTAACTAAATGCTTTCCCACATTCCTTACATTCATAGGGCCTCTCTCCACTGTGAGTTCTTTCATGTCTATAGAGGTTTGAAAGGTTACCAAATGCTTTCCCACATTCCTTACATTTATAGGGCCTGTCTCCACTGTGAATGCTTTCATGTGCAGAGAGATATGACAGTTGACTAAATGCTTTCCCACATTCCTTACATTCATATGGCTTCTCTCCACTGTGAATTCTTTTATGTATAAGCAGGGTTGAGGACTCCTTAAATGCTTTCCCACATTCCTTACATTCATATGGCTTCTCTCCACTGTGAATTCTTTTATGTATAAGGAGGGTTGAGAGCTGACTAAATGCTTTCCCACATTCCTTACATTCATAGGGCCTCTCTCCAGTGTGAATTCTTGTATGTATGGTGAGGTGTGAAAGCTCATTAAATGCTTTCCCACATTCCTTACATTCATAAGGCCTCTCTCCCTTGTGAATTCTTTTATGTCTGTATAGGTGTGAGGTCCATTTAAACGCTTTCCCACATTCCTTACACTCATACTGCTTCTCTCCTGTGTGAATTCTTTGATGTCTGGAGAGGTTTGCGGGCCGTTTAAACACTTTCCCACATGCCTTACATTCATAGTGCCTCTCTCCTGTGTGGATTCTTTTATGTCTGGAGAGGTGTGAGGGCCTTTTAAATGCTTTCCCACATTCTTTACATTCATAGGGCCTCTCTCCTGTGTGAATTCTTTTATGCCTGGAGAGGTGTGAGGGCCATTTAAATGCTTTCCCACATTCCTTACATTCATAGGGCCTCTCTCCACTGTGAAATCTTTTATGCATAAGGAGGGTTGAGGGCTGCTGGAATGCTTTTCCACATTCCTGACATTCATAGGGCCTCTTTCCACTGTGAATTCTTCTGCGCATGCAAAGGTTGGCAGGCTTATGAAATGCTTTCCCACATTCTCTACACTCATATGGCCTCTCTCCACTGGAAATTCTTTCATGTCTAGAGACGTCTGCAAGCTGACTAAATGCTTTCCCATATTCCTTACATTCATAAGGCCTCTCTTCACTGTGAATTCTTTCACGTCTAGAGAGGTCTGAAAGCTGACTAAATACTTTCCCACATTCCTTACATTCAAAACCCTTATTGGTCTTGTGAAATTTTGGATGATACATCAGGGATGATGGAGGAGTACTGATTTTACAACACACTTCACATTCATGTTTAAGACCTCTCACATGTGGACAAAAGGATGGGAAACTACAGAAACACTTCCCACATTTCGCTTGTTCATAGTGTTTCTCACCACTGGATACTGTCAAAGGAACCTTAGGGGTTGACATGCAAAAGTCCTTCTTACGTATATTAAGCTTCTGGGTCTTGTTTCCCTTAAGAGTTTTCACAGAAGTGGTTTGGTGGGAGGGACAACTGCAGGCTGCTCCATGGTCCACACAGTGATAGCTATCACCCGTGGAGGGCAAACTGGTGTGACACTCAGGTGATGACTCCTTCGTGAAGGCCGTTCCCCACACATATGATTGAAAAGGACTGACCTCCACAGTGACTCTCTGTACCACAGCAAGATCTGGAACATGGCTGAAGGGTTTACCACACTGACTGTCTTCATGATTTTCATAGAGGATCTTCAGTTTACGACTTCTGTTAAAGACAGGAAACGTGATGTTGGAAACAAATATGTTCCCATGTCATCATCAAAAATGGTGAATGTGCATTGTTTTTGTCCTAATTTATCTCATATTTCTTTGGTCAATTTATCTAGTAGAAAAACTACTATTATAGTCACTATTTTTTCTAGAATATTAGCCTTTCTGGTAATTGGGTCAAAGGGAAGAATGGGTAAAATATTTGATATCTTACATTTATGAAAATGTTGCATTCTGATCATACTCTGAACACTTACTTTTCAGTTATATTTACACATATAACCAAATATATGTATAAATAGGCATTTGTGTATGTTTGCATGTATATACAGATAAGCGTCTATATCGAAGGAAAGATGCAATACTGACAGAATTGGTTAAAATCAAGGATTCATGAATTGATGGAATACCCATTGAGATGTTTCTACAAATGGATGCCTGGGTGGAGGCATCCACTCATCTATGCCCCGAGATTTCAAGGATAGCTATCTTACCCCCTGACTGGAAGAGATCCATTTTGTACCCATTCCAAAGAATGGTGATTCGTCACAATGTGGAGCTTATCTAACAGAATCATTAATATAACATGCAAGTAAAATGTTGCTGAAGATAATTCAGAAATGGTTGCAGCAGTATATTGACAGGGACCTTCCACAAAGGGAAGCAGCATTCAGAAGAGGACATGGAATGAGGATCGTTGCTCATATCAGATGGATCTTGGCTCAGAGCAAAGAATACCAGAAAGATGTTTCCCTGTGTTTTCTTGATTATGCAAAGGCATGCAACTGTGTGGATTATAACAAATTATGGATAACATTAAGAGGAATGGTAATTCCCAACACTCGACTGTACTCATGATGAACCTGTATACAGACCAAGAGGTTGTCTTTCAAAGAGAACAAGGTGACACTGCATGGTTTAAAATCAGGAAGACAGTGTGTCAGGGTTATATCCTATCTTCATATTTATTCAATTTGTATGGAGAGCAAAAAATCTGAGAACGCTGACTATATGAAGAAACGTGGCTTCAGGATTGGAGGAAGAGTCATTAACGACCCACCACATAGAGATGACGCAACTCTGCTTGCTGAAAGTGAGGATGACTTGAAGCAGTTATTGACGAAGATGGAAGGCTTCAGTCTGGAGTATGGATTACACCTCAACATAAAGAAAATCCTGACAACTGGACCAATAAGCAGCATCATGATACACAGATAAAACACTGAAACTGTCAAAGATTCGTATTACTTGGACCCACAATTAACAGCAATGGAACCAGCAGTTAAGAAATCAGATCATGCATTGCCCTGGGCAAATCTGTTATACAAGTCTGCTTGAAAGTGCTGAAAAGCAAACACATCTCTTCATGACTAAGGTGCACCTACCCCAAGTCATAGTATTTTTTTCAGTGCATAATATGCATGTGAAAGGTAGACAGGGACTTAGGAAGACCAAAAAATAGTTGATGCTTTGGAGTTGTGGCACTGATGAAGAATACTCAAAGTACTACGGACAGCCAGAAGAACAAACAAAGATGTCTGGTCATGCTCCATCTTCACAATCCTTGCTATACTTGAGCCCATCGTTGCTGCCAATGTGCTAATCCATCTCCTCGAGGGTGTACCCCTCTTTTGCTGACCCTCCAGTGTACCAACCATGATATGTTTCACCAGGTAATGGACCCTTCTGGAAACATGACCTAAGTAGGTGAGATGACATCTGGGCACTCTTGATTCCAAGGAGCATGGTATATGCACTTCTTCCAGGATATATTGGTTCATTTTGCTGGGAGTTTATGGTACTTTCAGCATTGTCCACCAACACTGTAATTCAAAAACATTAACTCTTCTACGGTCTTCCTATTCATTGTCCAGCTTTAATATGCATAGAAGGCAATTATAAACACCATGGCTTGGATTAGGTGTACCTTAGACTTCAAAGTGACATCTTTTTCTTCCACACTTAAAGACCTCTTTTACAACACATTTACCCAGTGCAGTACAACATGTGATTTCTTTACTGCTGCTCCATGGGGTGGACAGTGGAACCAATATGGAATGTTTGACAGCTTCAATGCTTTTTCCATTTATCAGAATGCTACTTAGTGCTCCAGTTCTGAGGATTTTTGTTTTCTTTATGTTGAGGTGTAATCCACACTGCAGACTGTAGTCCTTCATCTTCACCAGTAAGTGCTTCAAGTCATCTTAACTTTCTGCCAGTAAGGTTGGCTCTAATGAGTCTGCCCCCAATCCTGATGCTACATTTTACTTCACACAGTCCAGTTTCTGGATGACGTGCTCAAAATACAGATCGAATGAGTATGTTCAAAGGTTACAAGCCTGATGCACACCCTTCCTGATTTCAAACCATGCAGTATCCCACTGTGATGATCGATATAGAGCTTCCTGTTCTATGGAGAGCTTCCTCATAAGCACAATTAAGTGTTCTGGAATTCACACTCTTCTCAAAGACACCCATATTTTTTAGAGTCCACACAAATACTTTAGGGTAGTAAAAAAAAAAAAGTGAAAATCTTGCTGTTATTCTTTGCTTTCAGCCAAAGCATCTGACATCAGCAATGATATTCCTCATTGCACATCCTCTTCAAAATCCAGCTTGCATTTCAGGACATTCCCCATCAATACACTGCTATAACAGGTTTGGAGTTACGTACAGGCAAATTTCACTTGTGTGTGATATTAATCATACTGGTTGATAATTTCCACATGCTCTTGGAACACCTTTCTCTGGAATGGATACAAGTATGAATCTCTTTGAGTCTGTTGTCCTGGTAGCTTTCTTCCAAATTACTTGCCACATATGAATAAATATCTCCAGAAAAGAATCTGCCCGTTGAAACATTCCAATGAGCAATCCATCAATTCCTGTAGCCTTGCTTTTCACCAAATACTCAACTTCAGCTTTGACTTCATCTATGAATACCAGTGCATGTTGATCATACGCCACCTCCTGAGATATGATGGTTCAACACTGAACAAATGTTTTCTTACAGTCACTCTGTACATTCCATCTCTATTTAGTTTTCCAACATTCATACTTTGCACATCTCATGTTCTGATTACTACTGCACACTTCCTAAAGTTTCTTCCCATTTTGAGTGATGCTGCATCAGTAAATGAAGGGTATGAGAGCTTTAGTCCATTCATGTCATTAAGGTTGACTCTCCTTTCAGGAAGCAGCTATTCTCCAGTCTGATTTTGAAGGTCTTCTGACCTCTCATTTCAGGCAGCAAATCAGGCAACAATTCAAGGCTATTCATAAAGTTATCCAGGAATATATCAGACATTGTGTCACTGCTATTCATAAGGTTTTCAATGGCCAGTTCCATCAGAAGTGGATGGTCGCTTCTTTCTTCCCAGTCTTTCTTAGACACTCCACTGAAACCTGTTCACCACGGGTGACCATGCTGGGATCTGAAATGCCACTGGAATTGCCTCCAACCTCACAGCAACAAGTATACCATCTCACTAGGATGAACTGACATACAAGTAGTGGGAGTGCTTCCTACTGGTTAAAAATCCCACTGGAAACAGATCTGGTTCCTAGGCAACACATATGCTGCCCACGTTTACGTTTGCAATTACAGTATTGCTACAAAGTCCTTCAAGGTGCAGTTATACGTATACAAATACAAATGTGTATATTTGAATGTCGTGACACCTTATGGTTTACCTCATCAGTCATCGTTTTCTCTTATTCGAATGACACTCACCTTAAAAATCTCCCATGGTTTTGGTGCAGATCTTTTTTGCCAATCGAATCGGAGGTCTCTACTAACATGCAGGACCAGGCATTATTCTTCATCAATTGCAACATTACAAGATCACTGCACACCTTCTCTCCATCAGTAAAAGAGACTGACCAAAAATTCAGGTAAAAGTTGACAACATGAAAAAACAAAGAAAGGGTTAGGGGCAAAAAAAGGCTGCTGTAAAGAAAGGAAGATTTATCACATTTCACTATTTCACCACTCTGGCAATGGTTAAAAAGAAACAGAATAGGAAATACTTCCATGAGGACTAAGAGTAATGGTGACAAAAATAGGTGTAATTAGGAAAGCAAAGTAGAAAGATATTGGACACAATATACCTGTAACATGAGAGGAGGAAAAGGCCAGCATGGCCACAGCTGACAGAAGATGGCCAAATCTGAAAATTACCCTCAGGTATCTGTGAATTTGGGTCCTCAGCCCAGAAGAGACTTCTAGCTGACTGACTACAATGGAATTCCCTCCCAGAAGAGCTGCTCCTTTGAAAAGTTACTTTCTGGTGCATCCTGACAAAGCAGCTCTCTTTGAGTCCTATCTTGACACATCTCAGATTTTCCCTGGTTCTCAGAGAAAACAAATGTACAGAGTTCACTTGTAGCCCAAGGAGAAATGTATATCATGGGGGAAAACAGTGAAAAACAACGACCATGTCCCTGTCACTGAACCAAACAGGTGTCTACCAGGTTCTCTGGAAATAGACAGGTGTGAGTTGATTTGCAGA